TCAACCTCTAATTTAAGCTATATTACATGGTTCATTGGATTTACCAAGCGCATATCACCTATGTGTCAGGAAAACACCCTAATCTTGATTGCTTATGAATTCTGCTCGACTGGACCTCGACTGAATTTGCCGCTAGTAATACCCCTCTCAGCACATTCGTGTGTAAGCATTGGCTCTTTGGTTTGGCAGTTTCACTTGCAATCCGAAGGAAGGCAATATGTCTGATTGGGGTTGGATCAGATGCTATGTGATTAAGATAGCCTAGTGATTCCTTCTGTAGGCGCCGAATTGCAAAACAACCGTATTTTTAGGCTTTTTAGTTGTTTCCGTCATGCAGAAGTATCAGTTCAAGATACGTTTCACGCTTTGGACACAGATGGACTTCTCGCCAAAGGAAAAGATCTTTTAATTGGGGCGCCACTCCGACCATTTCAGCCGCAGTACTGGTGTAGGACGGCACTCCTGCTACGTGTGCGTAGGTTAATCATTTGACAGCCACCGATTTCATATGATTCAATCCTGTGTGAAAAATGTACCGTATCATTTCGCATTGTTGTCTCTGAGCTAGGAGACTCATCAGCAAGATGCATTTTCATCGGTTTTAAGTGGCTGAAGGTACTTGGCAGGCACTTATGGATCCTAATTTCACATTTTTAACCGTATTAAAAAACTCTTTGACAGAATTCGGTCACGATAACGTGACCGTGAACAACGTATGAACAATACTCATGTTTACTCCGACTCGGGAAAACCCGGTGACAATTTTAAAATAACGTCAACTTTTCAGGCCAGTTTTTCACCGGGATTTCTTCCACATACGTATTTTTTGAAACTCTAATTGCCCGAATGGTTCATTATTTTGTGTAATCCAACCTTCATTTTCCTGCTATTTAACCTACATCAACTGCCTGAATATCTGCAATGCCATTATGCCTTCCTTATTCCAATCATCACAGGGATGCATACTTGCACTACTAATATCGTCACAGCTGCTAACTGCACAATTTACTACCTTGCTATCACAGAGCGAAGGGCCGACCATGTTTGGTTCGATGTTATGTATACAGGCACAATTGTGTATCTCATGGTGAGGCCTGAATTAAAAGAGATGTCTTTCGCTTGCATGTCTTGCTGTAGCCTGAAATATGGGACTTTTGGCACTGCTACCGATACATGGATGTATCACGGAACCACTATAAGTACTATAGCGTCACACACTTCCCCAAAGTCAGTAGCCTAGGGTTTGACGACTTTCGACATTGATGCTGACCCTGATAGTTTAACTGGACTCGCTAAGCTGAAGGCACCCGGTCAAGCATCCTCGCCATTTGGCACGCTGTCGTGTTACGTTGCACTGCTCGTACTATACTCTCTAGCCAGTTAGTTGGAACGCATCGGTATCTTGGCACAGCCATCCAAATATACTATTCCATCCGACTACGCTATTGTGTTCTTTCTTGGTCTCGTATTCGTGGGTATATAACAAGTCAAAATGATTGGTGATCTGTCTTTGCTTCTGTCAAGTTCGCATCAGGACAAATCCTAAAGTACTAAAAGGACAAGTTAGAATGCCTAGTGTGAGTGAATACCCTCTGAGTTCTGTGTAAGAACGGGGGGAACATCATTATATGCTTGATGTTTTTCACTTTCGTCTCTTGATGGTCTAGTTCTATTTGAGCAGTCTCTTAGGCTGTTATCTTTAATATGTTTAAGCGCTACACCGGCTTCTTCCTTCCCTTTTGACTGAAGTTAGTAAATTACATAAATGTTTCATTTGGTATACAGTCCTTTGGTGCCACACCAAATTAGCCTACTCTCTTGCTAGTACGTGTGAACAGCCTGACTGCAACAATTGCAGCGATAATTTGAGCATCCTCCCCTCAAACTTCATACTGCAGAACCAGTGGTTGGTCAGTGACTATCATAATATGTGAAACAAAAGGAATATGCCGGTTTCATATGGCACTTTCATATGATTAATGAATTGTCGAGCTCGTTACATCTTGTTTTTACCTAGTGATCAATGAGCTTCATACGGTCCGTCCACAACTGTTATCCAGTTGTCTGGCTTTGATTACATTCCCTTGCACGTAGATTAGAGGGTACCAACAAGCTCCGTAGAGCTGCTCAGACATAATTGCGCTACAGGACACGGACGAGTTATATCTCTATGACAGTCAGTAATGGAGGCTGAAAAGGCGCGAAGTTTCATTGCCCTTCCGTGTGGTTGTAAAAGCGCTGCTGCGAGAAGTGGACAAGTGACCCGCACCCAAAGATTTTGACCACCAAAACGTCACAATTTGCATGTTCCGCAAAATAAAAGTTTTTGGAGTAAATAGCTTGACCGGCCTTCGGCACCTGGGTGCTTGCTCTCAAAAAGTTCACGATTAATTCTCTTATGGACATTCTTTTACGGATGGAAAAGATAGCCGGTCAGCAGGTATACACAAAGAAGATTCTCATTAGTCCATTCCATTGAAACTTACTTGATCAATACAAGCGAGTTGAAGTTGATCTAGCATTATCCTCCCCTAGAAAATAGCATAAGTTGAATCTTGACCCACCATTAAGACTCACGCAATCCCCTCGGAGAGTGCAAATTCCGATTCACAGTTGAGGGTATATTGATATTCAATAAGGCAGACTCCCAAGGATTTCAGTCATCAGGTCAGGCTAGATGTACGAAGCCTTCTCATCGTTTACTCCCACTGGATCTGCCATGGCGTAATAAAATGGCAACATGTTGCGGTAGAAAACCACGAATGACGTTTACGTCACCACATCCATGAAGTTGAAGAAGTTACAGAGAATCCTGTGTACTCAAGAAAAACAGACACACAAAACAGAAGAGCCCAACATAATTGGCTCTCAGTATGCAGTAGCAGATGTCGCTTATTCTCACTGACAATTACCAGTAACCTTGTTGATACTGACTCATTGGCTATTGTCACTCGCGGAACAGCTGCCTAGCCACCGGAAATTCAGCCAGAGAGCGCAGCTGAAAAAAACGAATGTCTGCCACCAAAGATGCCTGCTGATGCGAAATGACGCTAACTGATAATTACGCACTCAGTACATTTCCCGATATTGGTACATACTATAAGCGCAAGGTTAAGGGGACATGAAAAGTTACGTGGAAGGCCTCCAGTTGGTGACCACCTTACCGTCCTGCGCATCCACAAATCGTACTGTATGGACATAAGGTTTAGCAATGTAGCACAAGTTGCACAGTTAGTTGACTCAAACGAGTGGCCTGTGACTAATGTCCAAGTTTTGGCTGGGCTAAAAAACTCAACCCGGCACAAAAAACAATGCTTGATTGCGTCACCTCTAAAATGTGCGAATTCCTAGACCAATAGATCTATGAGCTCTCACATGGAATGAAGGACAGCGTACCGTCAAACGGGCACTTTATTGTAGTATGTAGGCAAGTGAGCATCGGTCTTTCTGTGCTGGTACACTCAACCAGCGAGATATTTTACAGGCGAAGAACAATGTATCAGAGCATTGGAAGACGATTCAGCAAGCGTAGGGAATACCTGCCTTTATAGCCTTCTACCTTGTCCTCCGAGGTGTTCCGACCTGGTAGAAGGGAAAAGAGAAGATACACCAGGTTTAGTCATTCCTTAGAATCCTGGGTAGGTATCCCTCTGTCTGTAGTAGAATGAACTGAAGAGGCTCGGATCCTTAGGTTGATCTTTATGGGCGAGGCTAACCATCTCAGAGATCATACTAGTGACTGTCCCCTGAATTCTTCCTGGAAGGTATGAGTCACCTTCCGGACCAGTTTACGGCCTGTGCACAGTTTTCCGGTTTAAACCTAACTAAGAATGTGTATGAGGTGGTGAACATATTGCCACTTATTTTCGTAGGCGTTCTACGTAATGCCCATAGGCTCCTGAAACTCCAAGCTGCTACCAAAGACGGTGTGCCACGGTTTTCAAGTTATGAATCAGTGACTCCTAGGTTATGGTGGGTCGGCATGGCGGTAGAGGAGTCTCACCAATGTCGTGTATGCTACCATATGCGTGCCCCAAGTGCATACTCACATGTTTGTCTACTTTGATGGGCATTGGCCACTCATCTGGCCAGGTAAACAAGCTGTTTGGGTCTGTCTTAAGCGCACGTGTTTCCTTGTCACCCCTAATTTCCCGCCAAAAATTTCAGCAACGGCGTAGAGAACAGTAAGGGATTTCGTGATATTTGACAGCTCATTTACATATAAAAGAAATAGCAAAGGATCTAGGAACGTGCCTTATGGCACTCTGCGCTCTGCCAACTTCTGAGAGGAGAGTTGATCCCTATGCCGTCGCCTATCAACGAGGAACTGTGCGCCATGCAAGCAGACTGCCAGTGGCTCCAAAACCTTCCAGCTTTGAGCGTCAGGTGTCTTGTCGAACGCCTCACTAAAGCCTATGGTATGACATCTACAGGTGTCCTATCATCCTCAGAATTAACCCAAATTCCCTGACTGTAAGTGGGTTCGACAAACAAGAGAAATTTCCGCGAAAGTGATGCTGCCAACGAGATAATAGAGTGTTGCCATCTAAGTGGACTGTGATGGCTTTCTTCATCGCTCTTTCTGGTATTTTTGCTGCAGTAGTAGCCAAGCTTGTCGGTCTGCAATCTGATGAGTGCTGTCTAGAAGGTGCATGTAGATAGGTGTGACTGTGGCATCCTTTCAGTCATAAGAAAGTGTCATTTCACTGAGGGACAGTAAATATAGTAGTCAATGGGCCAGCTAAAAAGAGTCTAAGCTCTTTGAGTAGCTCTGGGTGCAGCTTATCAGGTCCTGTTGATTTTTACACGTCTAGATTCCTAATGTCCAAAATACGATTCGTTAACTAAATTACTGCGATTACAGAACGAGTGTGAAAATTATGTGATTCATTTTTTAATACACTCGGAACAAGCCAGAAAACGTCTTCCGATAACATGAATGTAGATCCATCAAAAAATGAAATTCAATGTTTAGAGTTTATTTGAAGCTATTTAATTAGCTTGACCTCTTCCTCTGGCGACCGCTTTGGTTGAAACTCCTGATGGTAAGCATGTTTTTCCTAGCGATCTAAGGTAGGTGACTTTATTTTTGTGGTAAATATAATGAATGGCAGCATCAAATAACCTCAAAAAATCCATTAGATCCTCTGTGCTGTCATAATACATCCCAGTACCAAAAATGTATGTATAAAGGAAAATGCTGACTAGTTTACTCACATATGTTGTAGTCTTTCACTGGAATAACCAGAAGTGATAAATTGTGACGAATGCATTCAAGGGTGACTGCTGGACCCACGCTTGTCACTAATAATTTTGTATTGCCGTATGGGAGTGGTACTTTTTTATACATAGATTTCAGTTATAAGGATAGTAGGCTAGTTGGCCTGTGTTAATCCTTGCAGAAGATATCTCTGTAAAGATCTAGTTTCTTCTTAAACCTGTTAACGGAAGGCGCTGATACCGCCTACTGAGGTAAGGAGTTCCAGTCATTGACAACACGATGTGAGAAACGCAGATTCACGCTAAGTTGGTTCGATCGCGGTTTTTGAATTTTCTTGTGAAGCCCTTTGAAGATAGTCAGCCCTTGTAGGAGCGAAGATATAGGACATCAGTACCAAAGTCATTATTAAAAATACGTAATGGTAGTATAGGATCACCCGTTTCCTACGAAAAGACAGTGGGGATAAGTTTAGCTGATCAGGTCCTTACTCATAGAACAGATTCGAAAAGCCTGTCACAAGCTTAGTATCTACTTTTTGAACACGCTCGAGTGTGCCAGCATCCCTTCTTAGGCATGCACTGGCTGCCTGAATGCAGTATTCCAAGTGAGGTCTAACGTAAGTAGAATATTCTGAACATGTCCTAGTCAAAACTTTTGAAAGCTCTGCGTAAGGACCATAATACGCGAAAGCCCTTTGCTACATCTGCATTACAATTTGTCGCGGTCTTCAAATCATGGCGAATGATGGCACCCTAGTCTTTTAGTTCAAAGACTAGGAGTAGTGGTGTCATCATCATCATCATCATCATTATCAACATAGGACCAGGCATTACTGCGTAACGGTCCGAGTTGCCACACCTCATATCAGCACATCAAGTAAAAAGGTAGTGAGGTGAAGGATGAAGATAAGTGAATGCAGTCAAAAGAAATATAAAGTATGAGAAGAAAGGAAAGAGGAGTGACAAAATAGTGAGATTCGGTATAGCGTTGTTAAGATGAGGATAATGTGTGTATACATCTGCGCCACTGACTTCGGTTCTGAGCCATATCACCTAGGGTCTCCAACCACTGGTTCCTCTTGTCCCGTGGACCCCAACCACCTAGTCTGCATCGTCCTACATGGCTTAAACCAACAGTCAGAGACTTCATACATTGGTGCCATGTTTTAGTCTGGCCACCTCGGGCCTTTTTCCAGCCTGAACCCACCTCAGCCAACATTGTGTGACGAGGCAATCGGTGACTAGGCATACGTAGTACGTGTCCCAACCATCTCAGTCGATGAAGGTTCACAACCTCGTCGACTGACTTACCTCTTCTCCCTAAAACTCTACACCTAACTTCTGCATTACTCACATGGTGACACCACGGAATACGTCCTATACTACGAAGGCAACGGTGGTCAAATACCTGTAACCTTCTCATGTCTTCCACTTTCAATGGCCATGTTTCACAGCCATACAGTAGAACAGAGCGGACTGCTGTGCAGTACACGCGACCCTTAATAGACAAACGAATATCACGGCGGCGCCATAGGTGGCGCAAATTGGCAAAAGCCAATCGAGCCTTTTGTATCCGTGCAGAAATCTCATCGGCAACTAACCCACCGGAGTTGATCCTACTTCCCAGGTAAGTGAAGTGGTCAACACACTCAACCACTTCACTCTCTATTGTTAACCGCGGTACCGCTGAAGACCAGTCCTGGAGCAAAAATTTGCATTTGGGTGGTGAAAATCGCATCCCAAACATTCTCAAATTCCCACTCAAAGTGTTCAGAAGACTCTGCATCTTGTCAGCGTCTTCACCTAACAGGACTATGTCATCTGCATATTCTAGATCTAAGGAAAATTCACCTGTGGTCCGGTCAACGTCTTTGTAATTAGGTGACGAGAGGGAAACCTCCATAAGAATATCTATGATAAAATTAAATAAGAATGGGGATAGTGGGCATCCTTGACGGACACCACTTGATGAGTATAGCTCCCTGGACAACTCACCATAGGCTCTAACATGCCCACAAGTGTTCGAGTAGAGAGCTTTCAATAAGGTGATGTACTTACTAGGCACGCCTTTCAGTGACAGACACTGCCATAAGACTTCTCGATCAACGGAGTCAAATGCCGCCTTCAGGTCGAGAAATACAGCTATTGTCGGGCGTCTGTAAGCATGCCTATGTTCCAGGACCTGGCGCAGTGTGAATATTTGGTCGATACATCCACGGCCAGGTCTAAAGCCTGCCTGGTTTTCTCGGGCTTGCTGTTCCCGAGCTCCACTCAGGCGTCGGAGAATTATAGAACTTAGGATCTTAGACACTATGTTTGTCAGGCTGATTCCTCTGTGGTTATCACAAGAGGACTTCTCGCCTTTCTTGAAGACTGGGATGATCAGTGACTTAGACCAGTCGGAGGGGATCGTATTTGATTCCCATATACTGGCTAACACTTCCGTTAGCCTGACTAAGAGAACTCTACCACCATTCTTGTATACCTCAGCAGGTAGTCCGTCTGGTCCTGCTGCCCTTCCCCGTTTCAGGCTACCTACCGCTTTCTCAACTTCTTCTAGTGTTGGGGGACCTGTCTCTATGTCCCATTCAGGGTCCGACTGGATAGCGGGCAGCGCAATGGTGGCTGGAGGCCAGTTAAACTGTTCCTCAAAGTGTTCTGCCCATCGTCCCAGTCGCCTTCCCTGCGAGTGAATCGCCGATCCGTCCTTCTCCGCTATAACCTCACTAACTGTTGTTGACCATTTCCCCCCAGTCTCCTTAATAAGTCTAAATAACTGTCTACTGTTACCGATCGCCGCTGCCTTTTCCATCTCTTTAGCCTTTGCTGCCCACCACTGTTCACGATCGTTGCGCAGACTTTTCGTCAGTTTATTTTTAAGTTGCGCTCGCTCTTCATTGTACTCAGAGCCTGCAGGGATGCATTCACGTGCATCCATTAGTTTGGAAGAAGCTGCTGATATCCACTGGCTCTTTTTAGCCATTATCTTGGAGTCGGCTACAGTCTCCAGTGCTGCTTTTACAGTAGACTGAAGATGGCACCAAGCTTCTTCTGGATGAGTGACAGTCTTTTGTTCCGATAACTGCCTAGCCAACTTCTCACTGAACACGGCTTTGGTGTTTTCGTTGTCCAGCAGAACTCGTAGTGGTTTTGTTGCCAAATTTTTTCTACGTCCATTGAGACGCAGGCATATACGTGCTCGGACCAACGCATGATCGCTGTCCAAACACGTACTCCAGAAGGAGCGGCAGTCTTCCACCGATCCTCTCCAGCGATGACTAATAGCAATGTGGTCTATCTGTGTCCATCGCTGAGTCGAGCTCGGTGGACGCCAGGTCAGACAGTGCCTTTCTTTATGTCTGAAATTTGTGCTGGCTAAAAATAGGCGGTTATCTGAGCATAGTTGTAATAGGCGATCACCGTTATCTGTACGTTCAGCTGGGATTCCGAAAGTGCCACCTAAGTGCCTTTCTGCCTCACTCAGTCTACCCACCTGTGCGTTGAGGTCACCTGCAACAACCACTACGTCCGAACGTTTGGCTTTCGAGAGGAGGTTAGACAGTTTATGGTAGAACTCGTCCTTCACTTCATCCGAACTACAGTCAGTGGGTGCGTAAGCAGAGATTACAAAGAGACAACGGCGAGTCTCACTATTCCTTTTAGTTCTCACTGTGCCGTTCAGCCTCATAGCGCAGAGGCGACTATCAACTGGGATCCAGTCTAGTAGTGAGTTTTCTGCCCTGGTGCTTAATGCTATACCTACACCTGCAAGACCACGAGAGCTAGCTATCGAATCTCCAGAAACTCGAAGGGTGAATTTTGCAGATTCACCAGATTGGTCAGGAGAGGTCAGGTGAATAACCACACTTGGGTCCTGTATGCGTGTCTCACAAACACAGCACACATCCATGCCTCGAGTTGCTAGAGTCTTTGCCAACGAAGCCTGTTGGCCAATTTGACGGAGGGTGCGGACATTGAAGGCTCCAATATGTAATTTGGAGCGTGGTTTAAGGAGACCAGGGACACTGTTCTGTGGACTCAGATCGTTGTCGAAGGCTGCAGAGGTAGGAGAAATTGAAGATGATGCAGCATCATTAATTAAGAGACGTGAAGGAAGATTAGAAGGTAATGATGGAGGAGGAGGATAGCAGTCAGAAGAAACTTGGGTGCTGACAGAGTTGTGAGGGCGGTTGACACTTCCCGGCTGCCCACACCGTGGAAGGCTATTTCTTCTTAAGGTACCTGAAAGAGATTTGTGTGACCGCAGAGCCCATCGGACATCTGCTTGAGGCCTGTCACACCCAGCCTTTTGAGTATGATTATTTTGAATTTTTGTATTTTTGGGGCCGGATGAGCGAAAGGAAACGACAAGTGAACCAACACCGCCGGCCCGGCAGACCGTGGGGCGTGGTGGAGTGTGTTATTTTTGGGGCCGACCTTTTCTAACCCCCCCTTCCACTGAGAAGGCAGCATCAGCTTGGCACTGCTGGTCATCCAAGGGAAACACCTTACTGCTGTCACACCCCATCCAGCTAGCAGCAGTACGACTTCGCCCTCAGACCCCCATCATAGTGTAGCAATTTACACTATGACGGTAACTGCTTTTCGTCTAACCACTACCCAACAGACCTTTCTGGTATGGTAGGACCTCGAGGGAACAAGCGTTCCACCAGCATAGCTCGTTGGGTCATTGTGATATGCAAGCCCGACCACCACGTCAAGGTAGCAGCTATTGGTCGGGGAGTAGTGGTGTACCATCAACGTAATACTGGAAACAATTGCTATGACCAATGTGCATAATTGCACTTTTGTTAGAGTTGATTTC